CTTGGGTCAATGTGAGAGATTGACACCGGTTGGCATTTGACCACCCCCCCTAATTAATGAGGTTTTCCACGTTTCCCTCATTCCTGCACTGAATGGTGGTTAGGGCCTACCAACATAAGTCGTTCCTGGGCGCAAATGCGGCCTGCGTAATAATAATATGCCGCCTCCTCTCCCGCACAAGTCTCCGACTTCTGGACTAACTCTCGTAGTTAGAATGAGGAGTAGAGATATTATTATTATTAGTTACAAAAATTATTTTGATTAAAAAAATGGGTAAAAACAAATTTCGAAATTTACCTGAATATAATTCCTCTAGGTACTCAAGGTCCTTAAGACACTGACAGACTATCTGGTACCTAGATATAATTATACATTTTGTTTACAGATTACATGTGATTTTAATGAAAAGTACCCAGAAAAAAGTGTCATTACATATCTAAATTTCCCAAAAGTAGCTCAAGTTATATTAAAATAATGTAAGAAAAGGAAAATATGTATCACGGAGAACTGTCACGATGTTCATCAATGCATTTTAGCATTATTAACCCTTCTATATGTATTCACTCCTGTTACCCCTAGAAAAATAAAGTAGTAATTAAAGACCATCAAGATCCAAAGTACAAGAACGTATAGTTCGTGTAATGGTAAGCACATTTAAGAAATTGGTTATTTAATCTTTTCTAAACGTACTGAAACTTTAAATGCTGCTACTTGCTTGTTAGTGTAACTTAAAAATTAAATATAAAGAATTAATTTCCCATTACCTAAAATATTTCAAAATTGTGGTATTTTTTCTTATGCATTCATAACAGGTACTATAATTACTTGCTGCTCACTTGCATTAAATTATCTTTCTAGAACTACTATGAAGTCCAAGATATTGTAGAGAGAAGAAAAAATAATAAAAGAATACCGTCTTCCTATGCAGCCTTACATGGTGGCTCTAGGTCCATTAAATAAATTAGAAGCTTATTACGTTGTCATGGATGATACTCAGTATTGTTTTGATTCGCCAATAGGAGCACTCAAGGTTATGAAACGGTATGAAATGAATGGCATGCATATAAACTGCAAATTATTTTAGAGCACTTGACAGAGAAGAATAGTCAAAGAGGATATGTATACTAGACAGGCTTTAGCACGAACGTCTTCAACTAACTTGTTCAAACCAGACTTGTCATGCAAACTGTCAAGTAATCTGTTGTGTAGTAGTAGTGTAGTCAGATGTGCTTTTCGATTTTCTAGAAAGGTATTTATTTATTTTAATTTTTTGACCAGTACAATTTAACTTAATTCTAGAAGAGTAATTATAATGTTGCATTTCAAAAATTAACAAATGTAACTGTACCAATTATATTATATTGTCAATTATACTGACTTTGGGGCAACTAAAACTTTCTTAGGATTTTTTTATTTTGATTTGATTTTGAAGTTGACACCCCTCTTATTAGCGTTATTACTGAAGATAATTATTTTGCCATGAAACTGACCCACCGGATGAGTTGAGAGGAAAATGATTCATGAGAAGACTTGAAACCATAGAAGAAGCGCTACAAGAACTGGAGGCAGAAGAAAATGAGATGAATGAACAAGACGGTACGGTAATGGAGATTTCTAACTGGTATGAATATTTGGGAACGCACAAGAACTTTCCATTCAATGGTCTACGCGGTGTAAAAAAAAATATTTCCCCTGAATCTTTTCCTCTAGAAATTTTCTTTATGTTCATGGAGACTGAAGTTTTAGATCTTATTATAAAGAAAACAAATAGATCCGCCGAAGAGTGTTTGGCAGTTAGACTACAACAATTCGCTAGATTACGAAAGTAGGCTCCAACAAATTCAGAAGAAATGAAAAGTTTTTTGGTTTTACGATACGGATGGGATATATTGCTAGAAAAATTTAAATCGATATTTTATCCTGGTGAACAGCTGTCCCCCCTGGGTCCAGACATTAGCAGAGGCAGCCTTGCAGTTATTCCCAAAAATATTAAATATTTATTTCATTGTTAGCACAAACAATAAATTAGTTGTGGACCGAACTTCACCTATGCTTATTGTCACTACCTCGCAAAATGTAGGAAAAAGAAACCAAAAGATCCTTCGAACAATCAAACAAAAATCCAGCAAACTCTTACATATGGTATATCGTAGGTGCATTGAAATAACCCCGATTTTTGCAAAAAGCATAGGTAGTATTGCAGTATGTCTAGTCTTTTTGCAAAAATCGTTCGTTAAGTCCTCATTCCGTTGTAGATAAGTAAACTCAGATTCCTTGATTAAAAAATTATCGAGGTTCATGCGTTTTTGGAAGACTTCAAAACGGTTTGCTAATATCCCGAAGAATAATTCAATTGTTGAACAAGCTTTTGATAACCGATAGTTAAGTGTTTGTTCATCATAACTACATTTTTTTGGGCCAAATGATTTCATTAAGTTTGGGCCATGAACGAATGCTTCATCTGCAACAAACACAAATGGAAACATTTGTGTTGTGTTTGACAATGCAGTGGGGTTAGGCAATTGCAGATCACCTTGTTCTTATCTTGTCTACAATTTGGAATGAAATAGAACACCTCCATCAGATATGCGACCGTTCATTCCGACATCTACCATCAAAAACTCTCTCTTTGCATTAGCCAGAGTCAATAAAATAATGCTGTAAAATCGTATATAATTGAAATATCTGGGACTTGAATGTCACGGTTGTTTTATTGCAATATGTTCCAGAATTGATATTTATTTCCGAATTCAGCCGCAATTTCTTTCCATTCTTCAGGTGTTGATGGTATCTGTAACAACAAACATCATATACCTATATGTATGACCGGAAGAAGTTGATGAGAATACATGGGCAGAAGTAGAAGATACCAGTCCGTCTAATGATAGTGATTATTCAGCTTCATCCATGGATCCACCGCCATCTTTACCAGAATCAAATAAACGAAAAAAAGACCTAGTGTTCATATCTTCAACGGTGTGATAACTTAACCATCACATGCTAACGAAGACGAAGATCAACTGGCTAGAGGCTTGGGAAAACGAATTAAAAAACACTACAACCTTTGCAGAAACTGTATGTAGAATATGCTTTTTGATGCAGAACTAGGTAACCTAAATAGATATCCAGTTAAAATAAATTAACCTATCACACTATATCCAAAGGAAAGAATTGAACAAGCTGCAACTCCGACTTCAAATGCAGCGTTAATGATGTATTCCCAAACTCTTTCATTTGCCAACTTTAGCGCAATCTCAACGTCGACATAGATATTATGCCGCGTCTCCTAGCATGTTTCTTTCAACAAAAAAAAAAAGATATTGATAACAAGGTGCTAAAATGGCGTGAGATAGCTTGATTTACATTGTTAGTACATACATACAAGAAGAGTTTTTATCTTTTTCATTCCGATTGACAAGAAGTTTCCAAAAATAAAAGTAAAAACTGTTTATCTTTACTCGCAGGTAGACCCAATTTCTCATAAGATAAATTGAAAAAACTTTTAAACCCATCTCCTTTGAACATAGGTAAATTAGAATAAATACAAAATCTTATGGAATTATTAAACTACGTACCACCAATTCATCATCAGTTTTATAAATATTTGCTTCATGAAGGAAATAAAAAGAGAAAAGAGTCTTCTAGGGCAGATGCAGATGAAGAAGACGATGAACTATATTCAGATTATGATGACATGTAAATATATATTCTTCTTGTATTTTGTTAATCCACCAGTTGATACTTTGAATAAAGTTGCATATGCATTTACAGTGTTATTGTTTTGTTTAATCAAAAGTACTTTTCTAAATAACATTTTCTTTTAAATTTTGGTCTCACCAAATGTTAACTATGCCCACCAAATAAAGTGTGTAATCTACATATACATATTCATAACATAATATCGTGAAAATGTGACTTAAATATTATAAAGCAAAATATTAACGCATCCCTTGGAGCTATAACAAAAATCAACGACAAATTAAATGAAGAATCCTCAATCAGATCAATATATTCATTTCACAAAAAAATATTAGATATTCTATATGGTTCAGAGATTACTAAATCCCACGATTGATAATCTGGCACGTAATAATTTTCAGTTACCAGAACATTGTCAATTGCCACCCCTTTCCCCTCTTTTCGTCCTCTACCTTTTCCCCTCCCTTTTTTCCTCCCCTTCCCCTCCTCTCACTGTCCAATTTTAAAACTTTGTTATTACTGGGGACAACCTCCACAGTCCCCAATGATAAGGAAAACGTTCGCGAAATCTCCGAGTATTATCCAAGATGCCGCACACTGCCTGGTATTCTGATCGATAGTAACTGTTTCTTGAGATAATAAAAGTATATCGTCGACAATATTCTCAAACGTCGTAAATCTACAGAAATCTAAACCTCGTATGGATGCATTTTGTGACATGCGCGGTTTGGCGTGCATTAGAACGGTATTATTAAACCTCGTATGTCTGTTTGTTTACATTTTATCTGTCCTTAAGTAGCGTGTTGCTCTGTTTTTGTGCTAATTTTTTGTAATAAATTGTGCTACAATGGCGGGCAGAGGCCTAAGATTGGTAGAAATGATTCGAAATAAACCACAGAATAGAACTTTTCTAGTAGATTCTAAAATATTACCTTAAGAGTATCCATTCAGAGAATCTAACCTTCAAGCAGGTATGTGTAAGCTTTACCTAATTTTGTACCTAATCAGGATACTGATAGAAATTCTTCACACTCAAATGAAAGTAAAGGGTCAGACAAACCTTATGAACCGTCTAATAATAGCAACAGCTGAAACTCTGATGAAGAATCCATAAATAAACCTTATATTTGCACGAATTATAAAATTTAGGGTTTAAAGGTATAGTTGTTTTTGTATAAAATTAAACAAGTATGAACTAAGAAATTTAAATTTATTTTTAAAATATAATTATAAAAAATTGTATTTTTTTTTTCGATTTATATATACTTATTTATCTTAATATTTCCATATGCAATGCCTATTTATATCTTACAGCTATTTATGTACATATTTTAACTTACCTATTTACAACACTTATCTTAAATCTATTACTCATTTAACCGTTTTACTTTCATGCGCCCAGTCAACCGTTTTAATGTCTTTTGACTTTCACTTTTCTTTCGCACTTTATTTTCTATATCTATTTCTAATTTTCTAATGTCCTCCTCTAACACTCGCAACTGCTCTCTTTTGCAGCGAGTTCGTTTTTCATCTGACGAACTTCCCTGTCCGTTTCTTTCTCCCTCCGACTCAGCTTCTCCCGGTATTGAAGGAAGGCAGCCTCACCGGCTTGAGAACAGGGAATCTTCATCTCATCTTCAGACACTTCCTCTGAAGCTTGGTGGATTTCCTCGGGTGCTGCTTGGAGGACTTCGTCCGGCATGGGGGTATGTAGGGTACCTCTTGTTGGGGTATCGGTGCTCTTTGGCGGTTGCGGCCGAACTGTCGCCGTGGAGTTTTGCAGCATCTGCTATAACTGCGGCGTCTTCTCCTTCGACTTTGGCTTTGGTGGTGCACGAGGACGACTCTCACGTTTCACTACCTTAACCGATGGTGGCTTCGGCTGGAATACGTCGTCCTCCGTATCGCTTATCGGCGACAGTGTCATGGTCGGAACACCCCAGATATCCGCTAGAGCTTGAGCTAGAATGTCATCATCGGGGAAGGTGATGTCCTGGATTGCGTTGTTTTTGCTTATTATCGGTGGGTTTGTCTGCCGTGGTGTACCAACCCATAGACCCCGTAGCGTGGTAGCCTGACTGCCATCCAATCTGCCGCTGTTGGATGACGCCGACTTCCCTCCATCCCCGTTTCTGCAGAAGCTCCTTGAGGATTACATTTTTCTTGGTACCGTGCTTGTTCTATCCATAACTAAAATCTTCACGTCACTTACTTTCAGTTGTAGTCGAATTTTAGAAAGAATAGTGTGGTCAATCTTCCGTCAGATATTCGCCCATTTACCCGAAAATCAACCATGATGAACTCATAATTTGCCTTGACTATAGCCATGAGTACCAAACGGTGTGCTCTTTTGTAGTTATAGAAGTATGAACCACTTCCAGCAGGAGGATATAAACATGTTTGCCGTCAACTGCTCCCTAAAAGTTCGGGAAGTCACATTTCGTTTCAAAATCATCTGCAATTATTTTCCATACATTCTCTGTTGTAGGAAACTGAAAAAAAACATTCTTAAATTAAAAAATTATCTTAGTCTTTTTAATAAAACCCAGATTTTTATGCACACTTAGGAAAATTTATTTCCTTTTTCAGGGTTCTGTTATAAAGACATTTTGATTTATTATTTTTTTCTCGCTTTCTCTATTAAATATTATGTAAGAAATATATGACAGACAGAACTAAATAATAAAACAAAATATCACTTTATAACAGATCCCTGAAGAGGAAAATGTATTTCCGAAAGGTTGATGCATTGAAATCTGGGTTTTATTTAAAAAATCTGATCCTCAAAATCTCCAAAAATAAAAACTCTCAAACATAATTTATTACATTACATTTTTATTTTAGGGAATTGGAAATGAACCAGAATCCGACACTGAAGACTTAGTAGTTCAGTACAGAGCCCATTGGGTTCTCGACCAAGTAGTAGATATGGAACCCATGGAATCAAGTCGTTAACAGCACACACAATGGTGAAACAAAGAAACGCAGAGCTAAAATAATTGACAAGACATATGAAGTTCTTACTCTTGTTACAGAAGGACTACGTCATAATAATGAGGACCTATTCACCATTTTCGGAAATAATGTTGCAGCTAACATGAGAACACTTCCAAGAGAAACTAGGTTATGCACGGAAAAGCTCATCAATGACCTACTGTTTGAAGTAAAAATGGGCCATGTTACCAAAGCAACAAAAATGGTTTCGCTACTCGATTGAACAGAAAATAATCCCCAAATTACCTTAAACAGATGCTAGTGATGTAGGAAAGAGAGAAAATAAAAAAGCCAGCTTGGCACAATAATTACATTATTGATGCTTATTTTTCAAATGTGGTTGTTCCCGAGCCATATGAAGAAGCTGAGAAATCAGATCAAAAGATCTCGTGGCAGAATAGTGAATATTTTTCATGAATTTCATCCCGATCGGGAATGTACCTATTTCTAAATCAACCGTTTCAAAAACATTCCGTTTTTATTAAACTAAAGATGTTACAGAACGACGAAAAAGTGGAAGACCAGTAAGCTTTACAAATTAAGAAAATTATTTGAATGTTACGTTAGATGTGGAAAATCCAATAAATTCGACACAACAAAGGGCTTTAAATCATAACATGAGTCGATATTCCATTCAAAAAATTTACGTCCATATAAAATTTATTTTTTACAAGAATTGAGTGCAGACGATTAAGATCGTAGAATCGAGTTCTGCGAAGTTATTATGGATAAATTAAATGAAAATATCAACTTTGTCATCCACATGTTTTCTGACGAATCTACATTTTGCTTAAATGGACAGATAAAATAGCCACAACTGTAGGTATTGGTCAGAACAAAATTCACATTGGATGGAGGAAGTTCACACCCAACCACCACAAAAAGAAATGTTTGGAGTGGCATTATTGGTAGACACGTCATAGGACCCTATGTTATAAACAGAAATTTTATCTCTGAAAGATATTTATTACTTTTGCAAGAACATATGTGACTTAATATTTATTACATTTATAACTGTAGATATAGAACTGATTGTTATAACGTTTTAAAAATAAGGATGCAACAACTGAGGGTGAATGTTAATGAAGGGCCGCGAGGGGCTTCGAGTTTCGGTGAAATATTTTACCTGCTCGAGATAAAGGCCGACACAGGCCAGCACTTAGTGAGCAGTGTATTTGTGTGTTGTAATCAAGTGAGCATAATTATATCTATTTTGCTATTTACTATTTAAAAACGGCCGTGTCAAGCTAATATTAAAATAAAATTGATAGTAGCATTAACATTGAATCTGAAATTATTTTAATAAGTAAATCAATTACTTCGTTAGACTTCGTTCATATTTAATGATCAAAATATCGAGTGTGAATATGATATTTGGAGCATCCATTTTGACCAAACTGTTTAATGAAAAGTATAATCGTAAATTCAAATGTTCAAACGCATACCAAAGAGTGCCACGGAACATTTACCTGAAACCATTCAAATAAAATGAATTCTTCTGTATCTGAATTTACTTGAACTTATTTGAGTCAGAATTGTTAGAAACATGTTAGAATTGTAAATTTATTTTAATGTTCTATAGGTACGGTTGGTAACAGCCCTCTAATGATAGAGATAGGTTGGTATCACATGTCAGTAGGAGTAGTATGGAGTAGTATAATGTATTGCGTTAGTCACGAAAGTACGTTTGTATGCGTTTATGAGAATAAAACAGTTTAAAAAGTAGTGTATGTTTATTAAAAATAAGTATAAAATGAGGATACCGATTAACATTTAACTATTTTTAAATATGTTACATGTAAGGTGCTAATAAAATTTGGATTTGCATAACAATTTTAATTTATATTTTAAAAATATACAGTGGCAGTAATTATATTTAGGATATTTTTTTAAATAATAATTGTGCAAAGATTAATTCTCACACACTATTTTATCACTTACTGTCTAAGATGAAAAAAGTTATATTTGATCTTCATCACATTAGTAATTATTAACGTAATAACTTCAAAGTAGTAGACATTTTTTTACTGTTTTGTTCACAGAAAAATATTAGAATGTGGGTGTAATACGTTGGTGCACTATGAAGGGAAACTACGTATCTCGATACAGCGATTGATAAATTAAGAAGTGAATTATATTCCATTGGATTTGATCGTCTTCACGCTGCTAATTACGATTTGGCCTACTGTTTCTTCGAAGATGGAATAATGTACCTTCAACAGGAGTATGAAGTGTACAGCAATGGTTCAATGTTAAGTATGTATCGATATCGATGTGGCGATATCAATTTACAAGGGTTTTGTGAAGAAATGATTAAAATAGGTGTAAAACATCTCCGGTGTCTCTGTTTTTCGCGACCGATTTATTAATCGTTAACGATGATGTTTATTGAAGCGTGCTGCGCCGACATTCGATCGCACTCTCGCGGCACCTCCACACGTTCCGCTGTCAATTCGCGCATTCTCTCGCGAATTGTCTTCATCTCGTGGTCGATCATAGCGAGTTTGCGATGCGCTGCTGTCTGTCTCTCGCTATTGCCCCTCTTCCACTCTTTCAACATTTCCAACATCTGGCGTTGGGGCTCCTGCGAGAAGACTTGCGCCTCGACCTCGTTACTGTCCGCCGTGATAGCGTCTATCGTGATGGCGTCTTCTCTCTGCGGCTGATTATCACCCGCTCGTTCCCGCCTCGGCTCTGCTCGTTCGCGTTAGGCTCGGCCCGAACGTGAACTTGCGCTGTGGTGGTAATCAGCGTTATGGAGGGTAAAGGATCTTCCGCTTCAGATGGCGCCTCTCTCGTCGACGATGGAGGCGCCACCATATTGACTTGCTCGCCTTCCATCGTCGCCGTGGGAACCGCCATCTTGGAGCGTGCCTTCTCTTGACATTTTTCCATCACTTCGACTTGGCTACAATGGTCCGCCTCGTCCTCGTCATGATTGCTGCTCACGGGAGACAGCAACGGCGAAACCACGTATATACGCGGTAGCTAATTGCTCGTTCGCGACTGCCACCGCCGTTTCCGTCGGCCGCCACCGCCGCTTCCCTCCGAGTCCCGGAGTTCGTTGTAGTTTTCAGCCTTTTGGCCACCGGCACCAGGGCGATTTCTGTACCCTGGGGGAGACGCACGGTCGGTGGTACCTATAAAACCGCCGGTTGCAACCACTGACGCTGCAATATCCGCTGGGCGGACGTCATTACCGGCAACGGCTGGGGTTCGCGTACTACGGGCCTCTTGCCGCCACGTTGTTTTCTACCACACTTCAATCCCATCATCGTGATGCTCGAGAATTAACAACACAATCGACCACGAAACGAAAACGAAAAAACGATTTTTCTTTAATTTGCAAAACATTTTGCCACTTCAGACTCAGAACAGAGACACACGTCTGCACCCGGCGGAGGTTGAGAGGAAAGAATTTCGATGACGTCTCTAGCACAGCTCGTCGCTACCCTCTGTCCCTCTTAACATGCGCGGTGGTTCTGCGCAGCTTGGGTACGGATCCTTCTACCTGTGCCTTTCAGGTCCCGCGTCTGACTTTGCCGGTGTTCCCATCCTTCTCTTTACAACTATACTTCGTTTGGAATTAGGTTCATTAGTGATGACGTCACAGCGCCATCTTTGTTAAGGCGGGTCATAGGACGGGATCCAATCAAATATTTGTTGTCATTGTGGATGTATAGTGTCGTATGTGATTAAGTGTATAATTCTTCTTATTCGATAAATTGTGGTGATAAAAGGTACGTATCATATACATTTGGCATTATTATATTATATAAGTACAATATTGGTAATTAATTATGCATTAATATGGATTAAACACGCAAACGAAGTTTTGAGGTTAGTTTAGACATTCCAAATTCTTATCAATTAAAAGCATTCATTTTATCAAGTAATCTGCTGTAGCAGCCAAAAAAGTACTTTTGTTAAAACCACTAATTTTAACTCTCACCATTATTTGTTGACAATGTTGTAGTCATTGTCTTGTATACAATTAAAAATGTACCTGATCAAAATGTTACATTAACTGTGTAACAATGTATATATTTTGTCAAGATGGGAATGTGTTGGGCACCTGGCTGTAAACATTACAGTTCTAGGGAGACCTGTAAATTCTTTAAGTTTCCTAAGGATCCCAAAATATATAAAAAATGGATAAAACTTTTAAGGTAATTTTGGCATGATATAATTATGATTATAAAGTAATTTTAGCAATTTAATCCAATTATCAAATTAAGTTATATTGTATCAATTACCGAATAAATTTATGTATTTCAGGCGAGACAATACACCAGGACCTGGAGCTCGTGTTTGTAGTTGCCATTTCCGAGACGGTCTCAAAGAAAATGGCCCAGAGATTTATGAACATAATTTGGAAAAACTGTTTCAACCTCATCATCTAAGTCCTGAAAAGAAACAACAGAAACACACCATACATGAATTATTAAGGTTGGTACTTGTATAGAATAGGCACTTGGTTTACATAAACTATTTTTTAAATTAAATTTTCCGAATTTAAATAAATACATATTCAAATATTTTTAGCGAACCAAGTACATCAGGTGCTACTGAAAAGGCAAGTTTACAAACAACCGCTGATGCAGATATTGTAACTTGCATTGCGGGACCTTCAGGCCTTTCACAACTAGACCCATCTGAAGAACTTACAGTTTCAGTGCCCGAAACTGAAAAAAAGGAAGAGAGTTATCAACCATTGCTCTCTCCAACAGCATTGGAGGCAGAAAATTATTTTCTTCGAAAAATATTAGAGGAGCAAGAAATCTTGTTACAAACGATAAAAACAAAGTTTTCATTTAATGATATTAAATCAAATGATAAACTTGTTCTTTTATATACAGGACTGCCAACGACTAAAATATTTGAGTCGTTGTGTGACTTGATAATGTCTGTAAATATCACCTATTATTTAAAGTGGAATGTGGTATCATTAAGTACTGATGATCAATTATTATTAATGACACTTATGAAATTAAGGCAAAATTTTCCGCACGACGATTTAGCCATTCGATTTGGCGTGTCCCAGGCTACTGTTATCAACATAATTTTGACATTTATCCATGTAATTTATGAAGTTCTGTACAATTCCTTGATGAAGAAAATACCAAGTAGGCAAAAAAACAAGTCCTGTCTTCCTTCTTGTTTCTCAACATTTACGAATTGCAGGGCTATAATTGATTGCACAGAAATAACATGTGCAGTTCCAAGGAAGTCCTTGGAGACGCAACGAGCAACATATAGCACGTATAAACACAAAAACACCTGGAAAGGACTGGTTGCTGTTGCTCCAAATGGAGTAATTACGTTTGTTAGCAGTTTATATCCAGGTGCCACATCGGATAAAAGAGTTGTAGAAGCGTGTGGAATTTTGACCCAGTTTGAGGCAGGTGATCTTATCCTTGCAGACAAAGGGTTTTTAATACAAGATCTGCTTCCACCTGGAGTCAGCTTAAATATACCGCCTTTTCTAAGTACTCCCCAATTTACTACTGAACAAATTCGACGAACACAAATAATAGCCAAGGCACGAGTACATGTAGAAAGAGCGATTGGAAGAATGAAAATATATAAAATATTGGATTATGTGCCACAATCATTATTTCCTTATGGTAGTGTAAATTTTAAAGCAGTGACTGCACTGACAAATTTACAGTATCCACTAATTAAAGAAGTGGAACAGCTTTATGGTGATGATGTACACTTAGATATTTAAATTGTATAATTTTTTATAATCAAACACTTAATTTGCCTTTTAATAATAAAGGTTTTACTTTTACAGTTTTCTTTGTTCAATTATTTTTCTGTTATTAAAATGTTTTATTTTGAAAAAACTGGCTCTTGTCGAGGCAAACGTGCACCAACAAGAAGTTGGTGGACATTCGAGTATGATTCGTTAGTGTTTTTTCTCTTAAAACACTACTCTTTCTTTTGTTCGTTAATAATTTTGTTTTTTCATAAAAATCACAATTTCCTTAAATCTATTGCCTTTGTTCTAACAAGTAAATGTTTTTATACAAGAAGGGATAGGTAAATGGCAATGTCATATTTTGAGTAATAAATTTTTACAATATAAAATAAAAAGTATATTCATGACATGCTTCTTGCTTTTTTTTTGTAGAAAACAATATTTACATTATGTAAACAAATGTTCTGTGGGGTATAAATAAAACAAAATATTTCACATACAATATTTATTTATTAGTAACAAACGGTAAAAATTTATTTAAATAAAAATCTTTTAACACTTCAATATTACTTTCCCATTGAGGATCTTTTTCAATTAAAATTATTTCATATTCTATAGGTGTCCATACAAAAAAATAGCATTATTCTCGTCCCGACAAATATAACTGCCCCTGTATTTGGTGAAAATAAATATGATTTAATAACAATTTCGCCATTTTCATTATAATAGTAGAAATAATCCTTGGTCTCATTTATTTTTTGTTTTAAAATACCGTCTCTCTATTAATCCATCTGGACTTGCTGCCAAATATCCACATTTATGTAACCATATACCTGTTTCTGTGACATTTAATCCACTAATGGATGTAAACAGATTTTTCATTTTCCTTGCCCCATTGTACTGCTTTAACTTTGTGCAGATCATACCCTTCCAATAAATTTTTATATAATGATGCAGGATAACTGTTTTTTCTGCAAGCACTTAATACATTGCCAAATTTGCTTGATGTTAAACGTAATTTTCGAGAAATCAACCAATTTTCATTGATATGTTGTCCAATAGTAATGATTTGAATTTCCTCGATCTGTTTTTCCGAAATTGCACATAGTTCTTGAAAATGGTGGAGTTTGTTATTTGATTTTATATATTCCTCAGAATATAAAATATCTTCTATGGAAGGTATAATAGATGATGCCTCTTCACATACCTCTGGTTTTAATAACCAAGAAAAGCCAACAATATCGGTGGCGTCTAGTTTACCACGAAAATCATTGATTTGTTCAGCGGTAAGTTCTCCACTGATAGCTCGATCTGCTCAAGAGACTGGCAAGCTTCTGTGCTTTTGGCTTTTGGAGCTCTCCAACGACACTCTACATCAGTTGAACTGATGTTATAATGGGCAAAAAATAGTAATGCTGCCATGTGATGGCATATGTCTTGACCCACGGCACAAGTACATTTACAGTTCTCTTTGTTTAAGCCACTTTGCTCATCATAATGAATCTAAAAATATATTTATTGAAAAGCGACGATCACATTTATAAAAATTATTTGATACATACCTCCACTTTATACTTCACATCTTTTCTCTGGCTAGCTTGTACGACACCTTTTAACAACAATGGTTTCACACTTGAATCAAAATCCATTTGCAGAACGTGGCCATCATTGTACGCTATTTCTCCTCGTTTCAGTTGGTTTAATGCATAAAACTGAATTACATGTTTGCTTGCCATCATCTAAAAGACAAGAATAGTAAATTCTTTGATATTACATATATTAAAAACAGTATTCATTACTTTAAACTGATAAACACTCTACTGTCAAATGTTTATTATGCTATAAATAAGACTGTTTTACTGTTTTCATTCATTCAAACTGTAGTAGTGTTTGTAATATATAGCTTAACACTCGACTTTCAATAAAAATTACTGAAATTATAACTAAATTGTTTATAAATCACAAGAATCAACCAACACCCATAAGAAACTCACAACAAATAGACTTTGTTTGGATCCCGTCCTATGACCTACAACAACAAGATGGCGGTGATGACGTCGCACTAATGAACCTAATAAGGAATGTATGTATACTTCGTTTCGACTAAGGATGTCCGGCTATATTTGTTTTTTCTTGTACCACACTTATCAATTAATGTGTGTACTTTTGGATTATGTAACGAGGTTAAAGAACTACACTGTCGCTATTGCGTTTCAATTTATTTTTTTATTCATTCATATCGCTGTTACACGTATTAAAATCAACTTCTGCATTTTCGTTTCCTTTATTTTTCTCATTACAATTTACTACAATTACTATACTTATTATATCGACTTAACCTCAATTACGTCTACATATTTCGGTAATCATTTTATTTAATACTAATCTTAACTTAGCGATTCCGTTATTCAGTTCACTTTCGATGTTAGTCTGTCGCGACGGTGGCCTAGTTCGTTAAGTCGGTTATTCGCCACTCTCAATTGCTTGTTCAAGCGAGAGATTTCCTCCTGTATTCTGTCCGCTTCCTGTTGAGTCCTTGTGAACTCGCCGTCCGTCAAGTTTCTCTCCTTTACCAAATTCTTTTTTATTGTTATGGCCTGCCTGAATATTGCCATCTCGGTTTCTTGGGAAAACATACCTATCTCCGTTTCGAGATGGGTATTCTCCTCGGTGTCGTCGGCTATGATAATGAGGTTGTTGATATTTGCCGTCGCGCCCGAATTATTACTATCCGCTTGTTCCTTTTTATTCGACCTGGTGGACGTCTCTTCTAGCAAGTTTTTTAGTTCGCTTAATTCTGCGGCCGGTTTCTCGCCCTCTTTTACCTTTTGTTTTTTTGGAGGGCCCCTCTTTATCGATGAAGCGACGGTTCTTTTTTGTAGATCTTGCTCCTTTGTCTTGTTATTTCTGTCCGAAACTGTAGTCCATTTCTCGGGAACTGCGAAGAGCGAGAAGTATTTGCCTTCTATGATTATCGAAAAATATCAACTATCACGAATGAAAATAAATGTGATGATTCAACCCAACCATATTCTTCAATTTAATTGTGTTCGTTTGTATCATGTTGAAAATGTAAATAAATATTTCAATAATAAAAAAAGTGTACAAGTATATTTCATTTATTTTTTGGTATGATTTTATATAAATAAAACAAAAGAATGTTAATTAAATCGTTTATTTCATATGGACAAGACAAAAAAAAGTGTTTAAATTCACGTTATTAATCCATCTCTTTGTTTTCATGTTTCACCGATACCATATATCCAGGGGAGGGGTCACAAAATAAGGCACTGTATAATAAATGCCTAATCGGTTTTGATCTGTGAATACGCTTTTTGAGTGACCCTTTATTCAATCATTTGAGAATTATGGAAAAATTTATTATCGTTAAAGATGTACTCAAGAAGGTGCCACTTTTCAATTTGACGGGGAGTACTCTTGAATTTAAAATTAAACCCTTAGCCGACAAAAAGGAACCTGTAGAATACATAAAGACAATTTGTGTTGTGACTACTACGTGATAACTTCTTTAACTGCCACTCGAGCCCTGAACTTGGAAAATGCTACTTTCCACACTCTTTCAATAGAGAAGCAAATCAATGAAAACAGAAGATCGTGAAAAATTTCTACAATAGTACAAAGAATATAAAAACTATAAGTTTAATATGCAGAAAGACATTGTAGAATACTGTGTATCTGATGTAGAGATATTGACATAGGCTTGTCTTAAATTCCTTCAACAGTTGATTGAAACTACATATACTTGTCTTTTTACCGAAGCCTGTACCATTGCCTCCGCATGTAACAAGGTGTTTAGGAGAAATTTTCTCAAACCTAATACAACAGAGGTTATTCGAAAGAGCGGATACAGTTAGAGATACCCAGAGTAAAATCGCCATTCAGTGGTTTGTATCGGAAGAAAAGCAGAGAAACGTAAACATTCAGCATGCTGCTAAACAACAAGAAGCCACTATATATGGTGTTAAAGTGGATGGTTTATTTTCTAAAACAAAACAAGTATTTTAATTCCACGGCTGTTATTACCATGGATGCCCTAGCTGTTTCTGATATAACAGAGGTCAATCAGAACGGGTAACACCAGCACGTATTACAAATATCAACAATGTGAAAAAATTAAGCATGTCAACGTGTGCTCTCTTTATCCCTATGTCTGCAAATATGGTAAATTTCCCGTGGGCCACCTTGAAGTCTACATTGGTGATAACTTTGATCAATTAAGTTTAAAAAGAACTGTTAGAGGAATCAAATGTAAAATATTAACCAGCGAAAGATCTGCTTTATTCCGTACTTCCAAAAAAATTGAAGAGTAAATTATTGTCTGTTATTTGTAGTACCTACATGTGGTGAAGAAATGAATCAGGGAGAATGTACACATAATGTTGAACGTTGACGTCATCGAAGCCATTGAAGCCTTCCAAGCCATCGAAGCCATCCAAGTCGTGGTCGAATGGAAAAATCGCAGAAGGTGGATTATCAATCCTCCGCGTTGCCTCAGATACTGCAAAAACACGCACGGAAGGTGGTGGCGCAACGCGCTGTTACATCCCAGGATGCTACGAGTAGTCGCAAAAGCTCATGTTGACAAGAACAGTGAATACGTAAAAATGCGTCGAAATATTGGAAACATCCAGAAAAAAAGGGCTTTGTCGCTTTTTCGAAACGCGGGTATGTCGATTCCTGAAGAATGGATTGTGTACCGGAATTACAAGTAGTTCAAAGATATACAGTTACAGAAGTAAAGGCCAAGAAGTGATTTTTACGGTAGAGGTTACAAGGGAGGGGCACTTTATTTGCTCCATCACGATGTCACTACTACGTGATAACTTCTTTAACTGTCATTCGGGCCTTGAACTTAGAAAAGGCTACTTTCCACACTATTTCAATAGAGAAACAAATCAATGAAAACAGAATATCAACTGGCAGGACTATGTTGCAAAAGGATACTCAAGAAGTAATCATTCAGCACTTTCGAGCTTTGAAGTCCTTATTTCGGGATTATTTTCCAAACCCAGACCACAGTGAAAATTGGAATATAGGCCCATTTCATGTAAACGTTACAGACGTCACAGGCCTGTTTACCCAGGAAAACCAATTAATTGAAATAAGTTGTGATTCAACTTTAAAAAGAACATTCAAATAATGTACTTCAACAAACTTTTGGTTAAATTTAAAATCTGATTATAAGGAGTTATCGGAATTGGCGCTAAAGCAGTTGTTACCTTTCACCATAACTTATTTATGCGAAAAGGGTTTTTCCACTCTTGTATATATAAAAAATAAATACAGAAATAGGCTACAAGTAGAGGCAGATTTAAGGATCCAACTGAGCAACATCAACCCAAACAAACATTACGTAAACATTAAATTAAACATAAATACAATTATGAGAGTAAAATAGACACTTAAGAGTATTGCAAATAAAAGTATGATTATTGAAAGCGGTTTGGAAAGGCTGCAATAGAGGTTATTCGAAAGAGTGGATACCGTTGGAGAGATACCCAAAATATAATCGCCATTCAGTGGCTTGTATGCAAAGAAAAGTAGAGAAACGTAAACATTCAACATACTGCTAAACAACAAGAAGCCACTATACGTGGTATTAAAGTGGATGGTTTCTGTTATGAAACAAAACAAGTATTTGAATTCTACGGCTGTTATTACCATGGATGCCCTAGCTGTTTCTGATATAACAGAGGTCAATAATTACAAGATAATCAGAAACGATGGCTTTGAGGAGTGAGTCCACAGTAGCTAAGACAGATTGAAAATATCAATTTAGAAATATATTAAAATATAAATGATGAATTGCGAACGTATTCCAAAAAACACCCGTTAATTACACTTGCCCCTCTCAATCCTCGCGATGCTTTTTATGGTGAAAGAACGGGTAACGCTAGCACGTACTACAAATGTCAACAATGTGAAAAAATTAAGTATGTGTGCTCTCTTTATCCCTGTCTGCAAATATGGTAAATTTCCCATGGGCCACCCTGAAGTCTACATTGGTCATAACTGATCAATTAAGTTTAAAAAGAACTGTTGAAGGAATCAAATGTAAAATATTACCAGCGAGAGATCTGTATCACTCCGCACTTCCAACAAAAATGAAGAGTAAATTAATGTCTGTTCTTTGTCGTACATGTGGTGAAGAAATGAATCAGGAAGAATGTACACATAATGTTGAAAAAAAGATCCTTAACGGGTACGTGGACTATTGACAAGATGTTGAAAGCTACAGAAAAAGTTTACGAAAACGTTAAATATATGATATATGGAAGTTTGATATTCATTAATATGACAAAACTGCAAATATTTCTGGCCTTACTCAAGAACATAAAGACCATGTTGGACTTTTTGAATTCGCTGAAATCCTGGATAACCTGGATTTGCTTAATAGCTTCTGGGGGAAATTTGGCCAAAGAGAAAACTGGCCAAGACTAGGATTTTCTGAGACCCAAGCGAACTGTCTGACAGGTTTGCAAAAACCTGAAATTATGTCAATACACCGCTCCCCATAAATGAAGAGGCATTTGAAAATTATGAACATAGGGACTAGCCCCTATCAACAGTAAAGGTAGTGATAGCCGCATATGTAACTGCACAGGCCAGGTTAAAATCATGTTTACCTCAATTAATTGGGTAACCCAGTTCTGGACTACGACACAGGCAGTGTTACATACGTGTCTAAGCCTGGTGTGTTCACAGGAGAATTCGTTGG